CAGCATATTGCCCCCAACAACAATCCGGGTCCTCATTTCCCCCACCTCGGAAGGGTGGAAGGCTGAGTCAACCCTGAGCCGGTTAGATTTGAACCGCTGAACTGCTGATCTAGCAGTAGCTTGCAGTGCTGCATTTAACCACTGCGCCACCTTGGCTCTTGATGATCTGCAATGCAGATTCCCAAGCTTGATGCACTTACTGTATCAATACCATTTTTCCCCATAGCCATTATTTACAAGAGGGTACAAATCCTTCAGTGGTGGGTTCCGGATCTCGTTGCAACCGGTACAGTTGCAACGGGGCCCGGCATCCTCCAGATGAATGCGTGCAGTGTGCGCATGCGTCCTACCCTCCAGTGACACCTCTGCGACCCTCCGCGATGCTCCATCTGCTTAGCGGAGCATCGCACAGGTGCTATACGCACTGTGCACGGAAGCGGCGAAGAGTTTAAAGACAGGTAAGGACAATGGGCGGGCGGGCCCTCCGGAGCACCATACCGCCTGCAACCCACCACTGAAATCTTTATTCTGAAACATTGTAGACCGGATGTGCTAAATATTAATGTTATCAATTCATGAGCATATATTTTATCCACTTACTTTTAGTTGGTGAAAATGTCTCTGGAGTGCAGTTGGTCAGACTCGCTTGTAGAGCTTCAGACACTGACCAGACTCATGCATTTTGCACATAATCTCCATGACCATGAACTGGTGTTAACTTGTGCTCAGACGATTATGGAATTGGGTCAAGTGCCATTTAACACAGATCCAAAGAAAAAAGGAATGTAAGTAGACAAGTCACCTTTAAATACTGATTTATTTTTTTAAAAACTTGCATAATTCTTGGCTAGAGGGAGGTACAGATATAAGCTGAACGTTTAGCAGAAGGTTTCCGTCCACCCCTCAAAAAAAACCTTCCCAATGATCCCTATTTTGTTTTTAACTAAAATTAAACACCACCAGCACTGCCTTGTATTAAGGCCGTTAGGTTTCAAGGAATCACGACCAGAATTTGTTTAAGGACTCGAGTAATCTGGTTTGCCTTCCCTACCCTGTTTATGGTGATTGTCCTTTAAGCCAAGCTCCTGAAGGGTGGGGGGGGTGGGATCTAACTGGGAAGAATGGGACCATTTTTCACATGGTTTGAGGGGAATGGAGCAGTCGGCACAACAGAATCTTTGTCTTCTTATCCCCTCTCTTAAAAATGTCTCCTTTCCGAAAGAAGAAGGGATTGTGATGTTCAGCTCAATCATTTTGCCACTACGTTCAGGTGATGTGAATTCAGGCTTCTTTTAGAGATCCAGGTAGGATTGTAGATGCCCGAATGGCCCTCCTAGTTTGCCTAACCAGGGGTAAGAAAGGAGGGAAGAATGGCGCCAGATGCAGAAACAAGCTCTGATATCTTATATCCCATTATTATCAGGCACCTTACTATTAGTTGGAATCCGCCTCCTACCAACCGCAACCGTTCTTTTCTCTGATCTCCACAGTGTTATTTTGGTATTTTGCTCTTTAATATTATTTTGTGTGAAATGCTTTGAAGCGTTCAATTAAATTTTTAGATGGAAAGCGTCTCCAGATTTCTCTAACTTTTAAAATTCACCTTTAACCCAAGAGGGGTTTTTATTCTATCATCTTAATACATCATAAATCTTTCCATTAAAATAGCAGTAATTGGAGGGAAACTAGTTTCAGGCATCTTTTAAAGAAAAGAATTCAATAGAGCAATGCTGACCTCTAATGGATACGATTATTATACCACTGTATTGATGTACGATAACGCTAAAAGCAGATTTTTGCCACGTGGTATATAGTTGTTTAACTTTGCACTGGCGATATCTTAACTTGAAAGCAAGATTCAGATTAAAAGTCTGAGTTAGAGGAGACTATATAAATCATCAAGTCTGCCTTTCTGCTCGAGAATCCAGTAAACCATTCCTGACAACTGGCCATCTAGAGCCTAGAAATCTTCACCAAGAAGGAATCTATCATTGTTACTGTTCCATCGTTTAATATATTGAATATATTGATATATTTGACGTTCAAATTCATGTTTTCAGCCTGTTGGTTCTTATCCAGTTTTGTGTTTGTTTCAACAGAGAACAGATACACATTTATCTGCTTTTTAAAAGAATTCCTCTCTCAGTCTTTTGCAAGCTAACTATGCTTATCTTCTTTAACTATTCTTCATAGGCTGTAAAAGATTCCTTATCATCCTTTAATTATCCTCCAAACTTGCTGAAGCTTCTTCAGACTCCTTTAGCTGTCCTCTGAACCTGCCACAGTTTCTCCATGCTTCTTTCAAAGTGCATAAACGAGAAAAACAGGCGTAACTCACTTTTTTCAGCACCATTGCAACTACGAACGGTCACTTAACAAAGCGTTGTATGTGGAGACTATCTGTAGTTCTGAGGTTCTTTGTACAAGGAATTAGACAAAGCGATGCAGATGACGACATTAGCTGATAAAATGAGAAGTGCCTTTTACTTTTGATAAATACATAAAAATTCTCCCCGTTTATCCCTCCCAAGTGGGGGGATGGAAAGTTTCAGTTGTCTGTTTCCTGCTCTGTTCCGGCAGGATCTTGAAAACTGAGTCTATTAGTCTAAAGTTTGCTTTTGACTTCTTTATGTAGAAATGATTACAGTGCCAGACAAGAAATGCTGAGTATTGCTTTTTGTACTCAAGGGAAGAGTATCATGGAAAACCTGGCGGGCAAAAAACATTTGCGAGTTACGGCGTCAAAGTCCTTTGTTGAAAGTGCAAGGTATGTTGTGAGACTTTTTTATTTTATTTATTTGGAACATCTTTATTTATTTTAATAAAATCTGAATATGAACGCCGGCAAATGTATAAATCCCAGGCAAATAGCGGCTGTGTACTGAAAGCACAGAAATAAACTAATAAAACCAGAATCTTCATTAACATTGAGTGATATTGTACAGGTGCCGCCCATAAAGAATTTAACCATTAACAATGAAGTAATATAAGTTGTACCAAACTATTTCAGGAGTGAAACCTTCTTATTTTTTTTTCCTTAATTTTTCTTTCTGTCTCTCAGAAACTTAACAAGTTGCAGGAAAGATCTTATATTGAATTTTTTAAAAATTAAAGCCAGAGCGCCATAAAATGAGACTAAAGGTCAGATGTAGTTTGGCATCATTTAATGTCTATTTCTGGATATTTAATTGACTGTGGAAAACAAATATTTTTTTTAAAAAAAAGGAGAGATCAGCAGCTTTGGGAAATAGTTCGAGGTTTTATTTTTTAGACAGGTAATAATAAACATTTCCACAATATGTTAATTTTAAGGAAACTAAAATTTTCACATACAGCAGAGACAAATTTCACAGATCAAATTTCGTCTTGTGACCTTTGATAACTTTAGATAAAATTAAAACTTTTAACTTTTGATAAAGTATAAAACCAGTCAAAAGGTTAAATATTAAAATATTAAAAATTAAATCTAAAAATGTATTTAGGACATGTGACATAGATGAAGTTTAGTAGCTACTTGGCAAGAGGACGTAGTTTTTAAAAAATGCATTTTCAATAAAGGATATTAAAAAGTAATTGACTTAGTCTATGCAAAGTTTCCAAAATTCTACATAATTCTTCCATTTCTTCTTCCCCCCCCCCCACAACAACAACCGTGTGAGGTGGGTTGGATTGAGACCAAGTGGGAGGAGATGGGTGATAGAAACCATAAGAAGAAGAATAGTAATAGTAATGCCGACTGAGTAAATAATTTGACAGTGTTAAGGGAATTATTTGTTTAGCAGAGTGATGGCTTTTGGAAAAAAATGTTCTTGTGTCTAGTTATTCTGGTGTGCAGTGATGGTGTGCAT